TGTTTTTAAAACATTTGACATAAAAACAGCCTTTCTATATGGGTTTTTGGATGAATAAATATACGTTCAATTGCCAGAAGGTTATAAAGGGAATATATGTAGGTTAAGAAAGGCATTGTATGGTTTAAAGCAAGCCTCATTAAAATGGAATGAAAGATTAAAAACCTTTCTCAAATCCCAAGATTTCATACAACTAAAATCAGAGCCATGTCTTTTTAAAACCAACAAAGGAAATATGTACCTTGCAATATATGTAGATGATGGTATCTTAATGGGAGATAATGAAGAAGAATTAAATAATATTTTAGAAAAACTATCCCAAGAGTTTGAAGTTAAAATAAACAATGATCCAAGAACTTTTTTGGGAATAAATTTGTGTTTTGAGGAAAAAAAAATAAAATTTTACTTTCACAAGAAAATTATGCAAAATCAGTTCTTGAAAGATATAATATGCAAAACTCAAAACCAGTACCCACTCCCATTACAGATGTAGTAAAAGAATTAGACAAAAACTTAGAAATATCAAATGATAACAAATTTCCCTACAGACAAGCAATTGGAAGCCTTTTATATTTGACAAACAAAACTAGACCAGACATGACCTTTGCCACAAATTTTGAAAGCAGGTCAATGCATGATCCTACAACTCAAGATATTATAAACATCAAAAGAACCCTAAGATATTTAAATCACACCACCAATTTAGGCATATCATATGATGGAGAGATGCCATTTGAATTAAATGTGTATTGTGATTCTGACTTTGCTGGAGATATTAAAACTAGAAAAAGTATCACAGGATATGTAGTTTACTTATGTGGAGGTCCTATAAGTTGGTGCTCCAGAAAGCAACCTGCAATTGCCCTTTCAAGCACTGAAGCAGAGTTCATTGCTGCAGCAGATGCATGCAAAGAATGGTCATACATAAGATCCCTATTAGAAGAATTAATTCCAGATAATTTTGATATAAATCTCTATGTTGATAACCAAAGCACTATAAAAATTATAAAATCAGGCCAATTCACCACTAAAACTAAACATATTGATGTCAAATATCATTTTGTGAAAGATCAAGCTCAAAGTTTAACCTGATATATTGTCCAACAGAACACCAAATTGCAGACATCCTAACAAAACCTCTAGCCAGACCAAAGTTAGACAAATTCAAATCCCTTCTTATGACAACCATTTAAAACATAAGTCAAGTGAAGAAACTGTTGAATGTGATAAGATCACTGATTTAAGAGGGAATGTTGGAAAAAAAGAAGAATAGTAAATCAATTATCTTGAAATACTTTTAGACTGACAACACTGTAATATAAAAACGAGAACAAAGGAGTGTTGGTTTTGTTTACAAAATTAGTAATTGTAATGTAAATTGTTAAATGTTCTTTTCTATCTCTCTTTGAAAATAATAAATTTAAAATACTTTCATAAAAGGTAAAATCGTCTAAAAAGAAGAATAGTAAATCAATGATCTTGAAATACTTTTAGACTGACAACACTGTAATATAAAAACGAGAACAAAGGAGTGTTGGTTTTGTTTACAAAATTAGTAATTGTAATGTAAATTGTTAAATGTTCTTTTCTATCTCTCTTTGAAAATAATAAATTTAAAATACTTTCATAAAAGGTAAAATCGTCTAATTCTTTAAAACCACTTCAGCTGTAAGTAAACTTGTTATTTGTTGTTTCATTGTCTGAACCATAACAGATTCCCAACAGATATGAATTTAAAAAGTTCGAAGTTCACAATAAGAGCTTCTAACTATGATAAAGAACTCGTCGCATTTTCGTTATAACCAACCAGTTGTTTGAGCAGCTCTAATCAACAGCTCAAGACACCTAATTCATCTAAGAACCTAAGGAAAACCTATAATATCTATATTCAATTCGTATTTCAAGTTATAAGAGAAGCTATGCCTAGAATATTGCCACGTGGAAAATTAGGGAAGACAAAAACTTCAGGAGGAGACAACAATTTATTTCAGGCAAGGACAAACTATGAATGGTAAACAAAAGATAAGCCACGAGGGAAATTTACAGAGTAGCAAAATATAAACATAAAAATGACCACTCTGTTAATAAAAAAAAAAATAATAATAAATACTTTGTTACAATATCTTTAAAGAACTTGTAAAACACGATTTAAAGTATTTGTGACTGAAACCATTAGGCTGTGAATATATAATTATTAATTTGTCTTTTCTTTAATCTTTTTCTCAAAAAGAAAAAACAATTCTACCAGAATATTTAATATCAACGCAAAAACTATTATTTATAGCCATAATTTTATAAAGAGTATGCTCATATCTAGTTTAGATTTCTAATCACACTTTTCAAAGTAATTTTTAGAACTTTTAGTAATTATTGTTGTTGTTATGTTATCAGAATGGAACTCCGTTTCAATTTAAATCGACTTGACTGAGATATGGAGCTTTTCCTTCCTTAAATATAATAAATCTGAGTTAGAACTTGTAATATCTTGATAATCGTTGATACATGTATATCAGCTGCTTTTCACACGTGTAGACTGTGGTGCACTTACAGTAAAAGCAGTCGTCAACTTCTATCCACCATGATTATCATGGCCTGTACCACGTGTACTAAGGATAAGCAAAAAAAAGCATTGTGATTGGGGGGGGGGGGGGGGGGGGGGCAAAGTTAGATATATATAACAGATTTCAGGAATATTAAGATTGGGCTAAAAGAAGCTCAACAGGCATCATGTTGATTTCTATCAATCCAACCAATCAGTTGGGATAGTTCACATCACGTGATATTTATTCAACTTCTGGTTGGCTGATGATAAATCAAGAAGAAGATAAACGTCAGCCTGGTCTCTCCAGCTGACAAGGAAATTGTGGTCCTCATCAGTAGACAAGTTGACAATTTAAACAACTTTATTGATTCATCAATAGAAATGCGACACCAGAGTTAACATCTGAGATTGAAACATGAATTCATCTGGTTTAATTGAAATGTCTTCGGTATTATTGTCAGTGTGATCATAAGAATTCTTACCTGTGCATTCTTCCACATATTCGAATATAAATTCACAATAAAGTTTGTAATATTGTCTGTATTACACTAATATATCTGTATTACACTTCTTTTTTTCTTCCTTCTATAAATTTTGCGCCAGTATTTTCTCGTTATAATTAAATATTGAATTATATCAAAAACAAAATTATATTTATGTATATAGGAAAACACACACTATTTAAAAAATATATAGTATCTGTATATATTAAACACATAGTGTTTTATAGTATTGAATCCACTTTTAAAATATATAAATGTCATGTGTTACTCAACAAATCCGTGATACTGAATTGTATATAGTACTTGATTTATGTTTAATTAAAACCATTGCTATACTGGGAGAATCCTGTATGGGGCTTGATCCCTAATAAAGGTTTTTGTGTGTGTGAGATTACTCAACACATTTGAAACTTGTTTAAAATACTTCCAAGTTGGATGAAGTCAGGTCAAGTTAGGTTAGTTGTTTGGCTAACACATCTATCTAGTGTGTTGATTAAGTGTTTACATTGAATGCTCGAATGTAAAACTGTGGTTGAGGCCATGTATGAGATTTTCCATATGACGTTGTTACTCACATCCTAGTGGTCCATATCGAGGGAGGTCCGACAGGAACCAGCTCTTGTTCCATCTAGATAGGTCCGTGGTTGTCCAAGTCCAGTGGTGCGAAATGAATCCATTCTGCAGGTGCTAGTATCAGGAGGTCCTAGATGTGAGGATACATTCCTCGTGTATCCTAGATAAGTCTTCAGAGTCCAGGGGAATTGAGTGAGTCTGGTTGTCAGGTCCAGATTGGGGATCGTCGAGGCCAATAATGGCTGTAGATACACGGACTTTTTTTGTTGCAAGTGTCAACAATCAGAGCTCTCAAGTGTGTGACAAGGAATTCTGGAATTTTCAAATTTCTGTTTGGTCTGGAAGTATATTGTAGTTGACCACAAAATTTGAAAGTTAATATAGAAATTAGAATTGTCCCCCCCCATTGTTGACTACCTTGACCACCCAGAAATCTGAAATTTTGTCAACTTACATTGTCATCAGGTTTGAGTTTGATGCTCTGTAAGTATTTTGAAAATTGATTACAATATTTGTGGATAGATAACAAAGAGATATGGAATTAAGTTAAATAATAAAAAAAAATTCAATCAACCGATTCTACTAAGTCTCTACAAATATATCTTTGGTGACATGTGAACAGAGTGAAAATACAATATGTGTGATCGCACACATTTAAATATAGAGAACAAATAGAAAATTGTTCGATTTAGTATTTGAAGGTAATATAGAAATTAGTCCATTTTCGACTACCCCGAACACCCGGAAGTCTGAAATTTTGTCAACTCGTATTGTTATCAGGTTTGAGTAAGTGTACCAAATTTCCAACTTCTAGATGTTCTGTAAGCATATTCAAAATTTATCACAATGTTTGTGGACAGATAATAGACAGACAGATATGAAATTAAGTTAAATAAAAGTTTTTTTTTTTTTGTTAACCGATTCTACTAAGTTTCTACAAATATATCTTTAGTGATAAGTGAACAGAGTGAATATGATTGCACATATTCAATTAAAAATATAGAAAAGAAAAAGAAAACAAATATCTCACAATAAAAGCTCTAAAATCAAATTAAAAATAAAGAGCGAGAACAACTATAAAATAGAGAAAACCAATACCTCACAATAAAAGTTATAAATTACAAAAATTATATAACGTAGCAGCTCTTTTTATTCACTTGATCAAAGGAAGCTTTCGGACAAGCCCTTCAGTTAACTAGAACGTATAACTAGAACACGTATAATGAAAAGCTATAAAATAAAATTTTAAAAATATGGAAAGAGAGAATATGGTTTTACGGGTTACTAACCAAAGTGTATGTATGATTTTCGAGCCCAAAAATAAATGCATCAAGCAGACAATGTACTATAGTAAAGTACCAAGGTGCTGCACACCAAATAAATTCCCATGCCGGGAATCGAATCCAGGCCTTCTGGGAATAAGTCGGTGGATGAGAGGGTAACACGCTCGATTCCCGACAGTCATGAACCGGGATTGAATCCCGCGTTAAAATTTGTTTAATATGTGAATAACCTTCACATATTATTCACTGTTTCAATTATCATGAACTAGGTTGCTCTTGCTGAGCGGTACCTATTAATGTGATTTTGAACCAGAGACCTTCTGGGTGAAAGCCAGATATTCTAGCCACTAGACCACGTGGGAGTACGAAATGAAAAATATGGAGAGAACAAATATAAAACCAATACCTTACAATAAAAACTCTAAAATAATATCAAATTAAAAGTACAAATAGAATCCAGTCATAAAAAGATACACGTAGAAGATATTCTTAAAAAATGCAGATCAGTGGACATGACAAAATCCTTACAACGGCTCAAAATAGTAAATAACGCCATAAAATCAAGTTGTTGGTTTTTTTTTTATCTGTTTATACAAGATTGAAATGTTTCCCCAAAAGATAAAAACCTGAAATGCGGTGAAACAATACCGAGGAGGAAGGGGTTGGCTACCTTGCCCCACAATGTGGAAAATGGATTCCTTACGACGCTTTCCATGGTAGCTATAATGAAGTGGTGATATGCGACCATTTAATCTGTCAAGAAAATACAACTTTTAAGAAAATAAGTGAAAGTTCCACAAAATCACATCTAAAATAGAAAACCGCTAAGAGAGCAACGGTCCTACTTATGATAAGTGACACATCAAGATCAGAGTTTAAAAAATATATATAACTATCATAGATGTATGTAGGTGTCACATCCCAAGACAATATCCAAACTACGTAACTGACAAAGAAACAAAATACCAAGGGAAATTGCTCAAATAGGGAAGAAAAGGCCTGTAAAAGTAGTGCCCATAGTGTTAACATGGGGTGGAATTATAATAAGACACGATAAACAATTTAGGAAGAAGTAGATATACGAAAAAGAGGCCTTGATAATATTCAATCTTGGGTCTCTAAAAAAAAAAAGCGTCAAAATCATTTCAGCGTAAAAGAAAAATGAAACTCATTACAGTTCCAGAGAAATAGAGAAAAAGAATCCATAGATCGATTGCTGAAACGAGGTAGGGAGCTGGTAATATGAAGACGATGAAGGTGAACATGAGATACAGAGGGAACCAGGGACCACAGGGTAATGACGATCATAAAAAAGATCCAGGAGAACGACTATGTCAGGTGGAGCCACGGCTAGTAGACGTTTTTATCGAGGAACCACCAGGAGAGGCCATAGAAAGACTACTGTAGGGCCTTAACATCAGGGAACCATATCTGCCAAGGCCAGAGCACAGCAGTGACCAAGAGAGTCAAGAGAGATTGCTAGTGTAAATATATAAAACTTACAAATAAAAGTTGGAGGGGGGGGGGGGGGGGGGGAGGGGAGAGAGAAGTCCGACCACACCAGTCTCTCACAGTCAGTCCACACCCTTGGAATATTGACCAAATTGTGGTCCTAGGTGACTAACGTGGTAACGGGGCATTCATTTTCCAATGTTGTTGTTGTCGTGTCCAATGAAGAGCCTCAGATGTCCCCGTGCATCTCCATCACAGCAGCAGCAATGTCCACTATCTTGGGTGTGTAAAGCTGCTGCTCTGGGTCCATGTCAATTTTCTGCAAATCTGCGACCATTGCTGGGCATGAGAATATTTGAGTAGGTGTTAGTTCCACACCAGGACAGTTGTTACATGTCCTATAGGTTCTTGTGCCATCTGGATGTACACCCATCCCCCGATTTACACGGTAGATACGTTCCTGAGAAAAACGTGTAAATCGGGGGATAGGTGTACACAGAAATAAAAATAAAATGCATTGACAGGTTAAAATATGTAGTCAGCACATAAGCTCGGGATTCCTTGTGAGATGTGTACACAGCGCATGTGTTCAATCACAGTAGCATTTAGAATAGTGCGATAAAAACAAAACAAAAAAAAACTTATTTGGAAAACCGCGTAAAAGCGAAAACGTGTAAAACAAGTACCGTGTAAATCGGGGGATAGGTGTATTGCCATTCCTTTGTAGTGTTTTGTTCTGAGTCTTGTTATGGTTTTTGTAATTATATTATCAGAGTTTATTTCGCATATTTGATCTTTCCTTATCTTTTGTTTAATTATCTTGAATTTTTCCAAAGCATCAGCGTCAAATACTGACATTTCATTTTCCAATGAAGACCAAAATAGAGGACATTGCGACTGCTGTAATAGAGATGCATGGAGACATCTGAGGCTCTTCATTGGATACGACGACAACAACAACAACAACAAAAGTTATTATTGTGATGTTTTGTAGATAAAAGAGTATGTAAATATATACTTTTATATATATATTGGTTTTTCAGGAAGCCATTGGGACCAAAAAATCTTTTTTGGTCGCAGTGGTTCAGCCTACTCCACGCTGACGAGCGCCAAAAGCGCGAAACGCGTTCGTGGATGGCTTTTTTTTTATTTATCAAGAAATTGGGTTGGCCAAATATCAGGGAAAAGGCTAAATCAATGTTTAGTTGATTTCTGTTCCACCAGATGGCGCTCTGCCTTCTGTAAAGCACATGTGCTCCTGGTCAGGATATGCCATTTTAATTATATATATAAACTTATAACATTTTTTCTTTAACGAAGATATTATTAATTGTAATAGAGTGGCAAAAGCAATGGTATACAACATGTACAACATAAAGTTGGGGAGGATAGCATTTATGAACTGTCGAACTGGTAGTAGTACAGTAGACAAAGCTCTCATCGCCCCTAAAATCACAGATAAAACTTGTAAATCTTTTTACGTTGATAGATATATCTGAAACTGAAAAATGTTGTCTTCTCCTCTGGAATACCTAACCACACATTACAACACCAAATAAAGTAGTTTGTCTCTGATTCAATTTTGAAATTGTTATTATATATATACACCTATCCCCCGATTTACACGGGTAGATACGTTCCTGAGAAAAACGTGTAAATCGGGGGATAGGTGTACACAGAAATAAAAATAAAATGCATTGACAGGTTAAAATATGTAGTCAGCACATAAGCTCGGGATTCCTCGTGAGATGTGTATACAGCGCATGTGTTCAATCACAGTAGCATTTAGTATAGTGCGATAAAAAAAAAAAACTTATTTGGAAAACCGTGTAAAAGCGAAAACGTGTAAAACAAGTACCGTGTAAATCGGGGGATAGGTGTATATATATTTTTATTAATATCCCTAGTACACATGGTACAGGCCATGATAATCATGGTGGGTAGTTAGCGACTGCTTTTACTGTAAGTGTACCACATGTCTACACATGTGAAAATCAGTTCGACTTTGTACTTACAAATGTCCCAGAGCTTCGTTGGGTTATTTGCACTCGCTGGTAGGGTTGGATTTTTGCAAGAATTGGGGGCCATTGGAGAATTTTTTTTTTTAATAGAAAAAAGTGTTCAATGCGGGATTCGATCCCGGGTCGTAGCGGTCAAAGACCAAAGGTTTAGATCATCCTTCCACCGACACCATTTTGAAATTATAATACAGTTGAACCTCCCGTGAGAGACCGCCGAGAAACACGGATGGTCTCTCATGGAGCTGATGTCTCATTGAAGGTTGAAGATCAGTTGTTGGTTGGATGTTTGTTTGGAAAAAAATAGTTCTTGAGGTTTCAGTGACTCCCTCAGAGAAAGTTCCCTAAGGAGAATGACAGCGAGTCACACTAAAACGTCGGGAACTAAATCAAAATTGGTTGATGTAGCTATGTATTTTTCCAATTGAAGGTTGCAATCAAGTTCAAAATTGGATCCACTCCTGTGAGGTTTTTGTTTTATAAGTGAGTATTAGTTGTTTAGAAGAGGACTCCGCCTTTGCCGGTCCCAAGCCCGGATGAAAAAGGAGGAGGGGGAGCAGTAACAACCTCGCTAAAAAACCTGGGCTCAGCTGGCCAGGCTGATAGTACCCTGTAAGGGTTCTTAATCCAGGAATACAGGATAAGCAGCGTTTGTACCCTATGTTAGGAGCGGCTGCACATGGCGTCTGTTCCTCATGTCAAAGGCGGCCATTTCTTTCGGAGCTAAGTTGGCCTGCTACTGAGTAGTGCTCCCAGCCTTAATGACAAAGGCAGACGCATTCTACTTCACCCAGTCATGATGGTTGTCAAAGCTTGATACCCTAATATGATTGAGAGGAGATAAGAAAGAAGAAGAAAAGAGGGCTATATCAAATTTGAATATATTTCTTTTGACAAATTTTTGAATTGTTCTTTCTGCGATGGAAAAAGTTATTGAAAGGACTTGGTTCATCAGTGTTAAGTTTAGTTTTCTGTTGCAAAAAGGAGTGTTTAAAAAAATTATATATTAAAAAAAAAAATGCGCTAAATAGTTTCAATTTGCATCAACAGATGGCGCACTATCTCTTTGTATCAAATATTTATTTTTTGATTTGTTTATAATCCAATATCTTTCTCCTTTTATTTTAATAAAATAAAAGATTAAATCTTAGATAAAACTAAAATGACTTAATAAAGGCATTGTGTGTTTAGCGGGCCAAAATGAAATCTCATTATACACAATGTAATGTGTGTGTATCTGAATTGTTGTTTTATAGTGATATAACTCTATTCTGGGAAACCTGGTTACATCTCGTCTGCCCACGTATTCAGCCGCCCCCGCTCTCCACCCCCTCTCTAGGCCTTTGTTTCTTCCGACATTTATTTATTTGTTTTTTGACTTCGTTATTTCTTTTGAAGTTTTCTAGAAAAACTCGAGGAATGTCCTGGAAGTAACCCCAGCGTCGTAGTCGTTTATAATTGAGAGGCGTACGACATACGCCGTGTCTAAAAATACCAAACGATCGAATTACAACCGCGGCGAGCACGACGTCTGAATGGAAGCTGCGGTCGGGGCAGACGACGAACGGGGCGGCAGCGACACCAGCGCCCCTGGTGGACGGCGGACGGAGTCACGTGCAGCAAGATGGCGGCAGTGCGCTAGGATGCAGGCGCGGCGCCGCTACTTGGTCGTGCTGCTAGGGCTCGGCCTCCTCGCGCTCTGGCTGGCGACTTGGCGCAGGCGGCTGACTCCACAGCCCCGCGGCTCCTACGTGGGGGCCCTGGTCGAGCAGGCACCTCGGCTACCCACGATGGGACCGGCCTGCCGCATGGAGACTTGTTTTGACCTCGCGCGCTGCCGGCGACGCGGCTTCTCGGTGTACGTCTACCCGCCTTCGGGCCAGGCTGCCTCG